TTTAATATACCAAGCAGCCCCATCTTTGTGTGTGCGGTCATGTTGCTTTCAAAATAATACTGTTCTTTTCTTTTCTTATTAAGCATACGATCACGTTTTCGATCAAATCTTCATTAAGAACGCGACGATGCAGTTGTATGGTAAACACGGAAGAGCCTTATATTGATGAAAACAATAAAAAGTAGGAGATGAGCAGTAAATTTAAATCCATCATATATAAAAAGTGTTCAATTGCATCTCTTTGTGTAACTTCTCTGTAGTTATAGTTGTTCAGCAGGGATAAAAAGTGACTATCAACTTTCTCATGTATTTATCGGAGAAAGGTCCTTCTTTAGTCGTGTTGAATGCCTCTGCAATAGTCTGCTTGTATTTCAATCATCATTCTTTAGGTTCGTGCATTTCAATTCAAACTTTTCAAAACACTAACTGGCGATATTTTTATCTATCAAAAAAGCATTTTCTGCCACGATCCATGACAATGCCAAACATGATTGCTTACCAAATCAACTGCTGGTCAGTTGTAATTACCTTTCGTAAATCAATATTTTTGTTGATTTGATAAAGATTGTTTTAGTCATAAGCTAAAGTCATTCCAAATGGACTTCTTTAGTAAGAAAAGAAGCAAGTAAGAAAATATTATTCGGTCGTGACCGAAAACTTTACACCCATCCCCGTTATCCTAAAAACGGCAAAAAAAATAAAAGAACTAAACTTTCATGCTCTCTCGTATAAGCGTATGGGCGTTATAGGCTCACTTCCAAAATTCGATATCTTGTTACTCGCTAACGAACAGACAGACATATGGATAGACGAACAGACGAACAGAGGGACATGTTTACGTGCATGTCAAATTTGAAATTGCCCAAGAATTTATATATTTTATGGGGTTTCTGAAGCTACGTGGCTTGCGCATTATAAAGGTATAGAAAAAAAATTAAATTTCGATAAACCGCACACTACTATTGGATGGGTGCGATCAAATTTTCGTAGAATTTTCTGCTGTAGTTTATGAGTAATTAGCACAAATTCATTTTTTATTCCATTGAAAACTGGAAAGGTGCTCTCATTTCACTTGATAATGTGTACGAGTCCTTCGACCGATTTGGCTCATTATTAATATCAGCCTGCGTGCAAGAACTTCCAATTTATCTGCATTAAATGCGAAGTGGACAGCTTCATTTTTGCGGCCAGGAGTATATCTACAACAGATATTGCCGGACAAACGGGCAGACGGACATGCCTAAATCGATTTAGAATTTGATGCTGATCAAGAATATATATACTTTGCTGTGTCTCTGAAGCTTCTTTCATTCGGTGATGGGTATAAAAAGGCAATAGTGGAAACTCTCTGAGAACCGGAGAGAGAGAGCGAGAGAGAGAGACAGAGAGAGAGAGAGAGAGAGAGAGAGAGAAAAAAAGCATTTAAAAGTGAATATCTCTGATTTTCCTTTAAGCGCAAATGAGTTCTCATCATTAACATCAGATTGAAGGCTGGGTGAAATGAAGTTTAGTTAAGATCGCTTATCATATTAGAAAGCGTCACACTTTCGCTCCTCGATCGGATCAATTCTCTAAAGTATTTGCTAAAACTAATCTTCTCTAAAACAAACATTTGCTAACATTACTGAGGCTTCCATTTCTAGATGACCTCGGCAAAAGGTGTTCAGAATTTCAAGTTGTAAGGACATATCATATACAAACAGAATTGCGTTTGCTATCGCACATTAAAACTGAGAGTTAATCAAGAATTTTTTATTATATTTACTTAAAATTTTATCATATATTCATCATTATTATTATTGTTATTATTATTGTTTTTTAACCATACACTAATAAATAAAATTAATAAAGATTTAAATGTTTATTACTGATATTTATGGAGGTTTTGCATTATTTTTTTTTATAAATATTTTCAAGTAATTTGTATTCGTATTGATAAACATACGTGGAGATTGCATATTCATCTATTTCGATTGAATCAAGATCCAGCTTGATTACAATTTTTGAAATATGATTTTCAATATTTATATATAATAAGGATATGTTGTTATTAATACATTTTTTATTTATTTATTTATTTCATCGATTTTTTAATCATTTTTTTTTTTAATTTTCATGCCATCATCATAGCAAAGTAAAAATATTTCATATAAAGTTTTTTTTCCATTTGAATTCAATTTTTTGTAATTGCAGTCACTTCGTCAGAAATGTGTGTGGAACACAAAAACATTTCTTTCCAAAAGCTATCCTAGTTGTTACCGGAAATGCCAGCTCAAAATGCCGTATAAAATGTGAACTAATGAAAGAGTTCTTGCTTTAGTTTGAAACGAAACTAAAAATGGAAAATGAATTCAATAAAAACTTTATCGATTTACAGAAAAAGGAAAATATATAATCGTAAATAGGTATATGTGAGAAAAATTAATTGCTTTGGGTGGCTAAAAATTTGACAAACTACTGAGCATCTACTTTCATATATTCCGCATGGAAACACAGGCAAATGGTAATTATATTCTAATCATATTCAAATCAAGCATAAAACGCGGTTGCGGTTTTCCCGGATTCCCCGATGCAAACGAACGTTTGATTATAATCGCACATTTCTTTGTAATTCTTGATGATGGCGGAAAGTAGCGCAATAAGAAATCGTTTTAATAATAATATTTGTATGACGTAATACGTTAAACAGAAAACATATTTTAAAAGAGAACAACAAAAAAGATGGTAGAAAGAATTTTTTGCTTTCTTAGCACTTCTCCTTCTAAATGCTTTCAAAGCAGGTTGACAACGTACACAAATATTTATCCGAGACTTGATGAAATTGACATATGGGGACATCAGCAAAACGAGCGAATCGATATGAAGATATGCCTGCCGTCTGCCTCCTATCTGTCTGTCTGTCTGTCCGTCCATAGAAACCATAATTACGCTGCCAAACGCCTAGAACAATCAACTTAATCTTCATTTTTTTTTTTGTATCATCCTCGTTAACCTATCATTATCGAAAACCGATAATTTCATGCCTTTTTCTAAATTCTCAATATTGGCTGTATTAAAAGTTTGCTCGTAAAAGTTTCTTCACTGGAGATTCAGCTAACAGGTAAAAAACTTGTCGAATTATGACCTCAAGTACTTGCGACGCGAACGTCGCGTGACGAACGATCGATCGCAGATAAATGTACAAAAACATGGCGCTGTTTTCTATGGGAGTTGCTGTAGTATCTCCACAAAATTGGAAAAAATTGGTCAAGCCTACCAAACCTTATACTGTATCATGCTTTCATATTTTTCCGGCACCTTTATGCGACAGCTATGTTGAAAAATACGATAGTTTGTAGTGTATACATTCTTGGCCAGTTTCACATTTGGAATGCATCCAAACTTGCCCGTGTGTTCGTCTCTCCATCTGTCCGTTTACCAAACTATGTAGAAGCTGTGGTCAACATTCTCTCGTCAGCTGAAATGAAGATATCGGCTAGTAATTTGCGAAAGAGTTGGAAAATGATCCAAAGTGGTCAAAGGACACGCCTATAACACCCACACGTCTATGCAACAAAAACCGAAAACATGGTTGCTTCCCAAGATTTTTTCATCGTTACTCATAACCTACACCACACAACACAAAAAATAAATTCATACTTTTACTAAAAAAACAGAACAGAAAAAACAGTCGGCCATGCTAATATTATAGAGTATGGGAATTGAGTTTTCTAGTTGTTATTTTTAGGGTTTAATAGGATAATGTTGATGAGTATAAATGATTCGGTCTCAACCGAAGCAATATAATTTTCTTACTCCTTTTGTTGTGTTATGTCGGCCGGAGCAAAATATGAGAAGAACAATTGTAAGGGTGTGGTGACGGTATAAAGTTATTTATAGTTTCCATTTTATGGAAGATTGTTAAGATAAGTATTATAGATTTGTGCGCCGTAAGTCCAGTTATTTTTTAAACGTGACTTAGCTGTGAAGTGTAGTCTACTCTCTTACTTTTGTTGATCGTAATCTACAATTTTTTGCAATGTGGACTAATAGATGTGCAAATGGTGGATAGGCAGGTAGACAGGCAGACATGTACTAAACGATTTTGTAATTTGCTAACGCACATGCAATTTAGGAGTGAAGATATCGTGAAAACTTGAAAAAAGAGGGAAGAATTTAATTTTATTTACACAAAAAGTTAGTTTAGTGTAATTGCTTTTTTTTCAATTTTTTTTTATTTTGTCCAAATGTCTAGAAAAAGTTTTAACAACTAAAGAAATTTTATACAAAATTGAAGTAAAAGAGTGCAAAATAATAATTCTAAATAAAAGAGTATTAAACAATTTTCTGCAATGCTTGCATCCTTTCACAAGTCTAGTTTGTACAATCAATATAAATATACAGGGCGGAAAGGTGAAGAAATGTTATACTTTACTTACTTATAAAATATACTACTTACACTGACATACATATGCACATGCACATGCCCCCCCCCCCCCCCCCCCCCACACACACACACACACACACAGATTCGGGCACGACAGTTCGCCTAACTGCCCGGTATGTGAGGATATGGAGGAGGACGCAGAACACGTAATGCTCTACTGCAACAGGTTCGAGAATGGGCGGCCTCAAGTGCCACCTAACGAGATAACAAGCGCAATGGTTGGCAGTCCAGCAGCCTGGAACGCCGTAGACGCATTCGCCAGCAATACTCTCGTGGAGTTGCGGCGATTGGAGAGGCAACGGGTGGAGAGCAGAGGGAGTGGAAGCCGATAGTGCATTCCACTGAGGTCCCACCATCAGGAGCGTGCTAGCGACAACCAGCCCCCGCGAAGTAATACCTAACGGTGGTTCCGCGGGGGAGAGTGGTAGAAGGAGTGTGTGTGTGGGGGGGTAGTTTTTAGTACGTATGCGCCAGGGATGGCGAATCGTGCATGCTGCTACTAAGACCCAGCAGTATCTTTCGAAGATTTTCTACCTCCAGCTCACAGAGCAAAAAAAAAAAAAAAAAAACACACACACACACACACACACAAACACACACACACACACAAACACACACAACAATAAACACACATATTGACTTTATGTGACATTTAAGTTGGGAGCTTCGCTATAATCTAAAACGAAAATAATATCAATATTTGCTTCTTTTTGAACTGCACTGTCAATATAGTTTCATCATCATTCTACACATTTTCCGGCTCTGGCAATTTCCGCTCACAACAGTGACATACCAAAGCGCTTAATCTCTGGCCCAGAGCTGACCACACAGTCATCGACATCGAAGAGGAAATATTGCAGCTAGAAGTCTGTACACCGGCTGACTTAGTCATTGGTTTTGCCATCGGCAGACCTTGCTGATGCTCTTGATGCTTCTGCATCAAGGCGGCCAAGGCGCCATTATTCGACAAAGAGTTAGTGGTCGTCTCTGAGCTACCGCGTTGTCAAATTTTTGGTGGTTCAGTCGCTGAAGAGCCCAAATCAATACTAAGACTAGGTTCGGCGGCGTCGCCTAAATTAGTTGGCGTAAGTACGCTAGAGAGGCCACCAGTAGTAATCAGTATCGTATCACTAGCATCGACACTGCCTATTCGGATAGGCGGAGGCATGCAAGTAGGCATCTCACTGCCAGTTCCACTGCTGCTGTGTAAAGTGTTATTACTGTTGTTTACGTCGCCCAGACCACCACCATCATGGCGAGAGCTTTTGCGGCTGCTGTCTCCGCCACCGCCACTACTGCTGCTATAACGAGGATTACTGCGATTACAGGGTACATCTAAACTGTAGGCACGATGACGTCCTGCGGCCGCCGCTGCAATTAAGTCCTGTTGATGTTGAACAAGTTGCGTTTGCCTTAAACTGGGCGACTGCAGGTTATTTGAGATAGTACAACAAATGCCAGTAGGTTTACCCGTAAGTGGATCTACATACGTTCCACTACGTGGGCCAGTTATGGTGGCAGCATGAGCTGTATTATTGTTACGCATCGAGCAAGGGCTACTGCGTGTGCTACCGAAACGTTTGGAACTCTTGTCAAAGGAAAAACTAAAATATTCGGAGAACTGTTTAAGGCGTGCTTTCCACGACGATTTCGGTGGTGCGGTTATTTCAGTGCTGTGTGGACCCGTAACACCGTTCAATGTGTTATTGGCAGCGACAGACGTTGCCGTTGTACAAATATGCTGTCTGGGCTGTAATATTTGCGTAGGCGACATATTACCATTGGAGGACATTGTAGACATATTAATAATATTGTGCTGATTGGCTGTGGCAGTGATTGTAGTCTGTAGTGTCAACGATGCAGGCTGAGCCACGTTATTGACAGCGGTGGTGACATTACTTCCGGTGGTACTATCGCTAATAGAACCTTCCAAATTTGGCACTAGCTGAGATGTATCACTCAATGTGTGATTAGTGTTACCATTTGCGGTACTTATTTGCTGATTCATGTTCATATCTTCGGCCAAGCGACAAATGACCGTTGAAGCTTCCAAGCTGCTGCGATTGTGACGATTATAAAAGACATTACTATCAGATATGACCTGCTGCAAGCCATCCGATGAACGACGATTATTTGTGCTATACTGATCCAAGCTGACCGCACGATTTGAACTGAAATGCCCTCGATTTGCATGGTAGCCATGAATATTACCATAAGAATTGCGTATGCGTTGACCACTGCTGCACATTTCCCCAATCATAGATGGACGCTTCTCACGTGATGATTTGCGTGACGTGGAATGCGACGACTTTGAACGATTACTACTGCCTTCGGTGTCGACTTTAAATTTTGAAGTCTTTTCGGCAACCTTGAAAATATAGAAACGCAAAGCAAAAGAAAAGTCAATATGTCCTCTCGTTTATTTCAAAAGGCTATTGGATTAAATATAATACAAAATCGCAGAGGGAACGCATTAATCTAGTTGCAATGATCGACTCATCTAAGCAAAACAGCCTTAACGGCTGCATTTGCATTTAAAGTTTTTAAAATACTAGCCTCTATCACGAATTGCCCTTTGCGCTTAGTTGAACGTACGAATCGACTAAAAAAAACCTTTTTTTTCAGCCAAGAATTGATAAACAAATCACTTTCTCTACATGTGTAAGAACAATGTGCTCGAAAATGTACGACTGTTGCATACTTGTCATTAAACATAAATAAGATAATCTTAAAATTGGTGGCTGAGCAGTAGGTTTGTCAACAATCGGAGCGGAACAACTTTGATATTATGTTTTGTTATAGATTCGTTCACAGTTTTAGATCGACATATGCTACAGCTACAAAGTTATTGAAAACGTGTTCGATATTTCCAAGATTATTTCGGTTCGGTTTTTCGATTATTATGGGTGTCTGAAAATGGAAAAGAGCGTAATGAGAAACGAAAATGAATTACATGCTGTTTTGTTTTTCTTTTAAAGTAGCAAAGTAGTAGTACTTGATCTTCTACAGAGGACGCCATACTTTTAAAACTTGCATTTGCATTATTTACCGGTGACTATATAGCATATTTTATCTTTGACAAGCATACACAAGAAAATAAGGCCTGATAAAAAGTCAAGTTTAAGGGAGGAGAAGCAAGAAAGGGAAAAGGATCGATCTATTCAAGTAAAAACACAACTACAAGGCGGGAGCAAAAAATAATTTGACCATCAAAATCAATATTTACATCGACTTCGGTTGCAGTTTCCGAATCACCACTTTCACTGCCTTCGGGCAAATCATGTAATTCGGCGGGAATGCCACCAGGCTCATCAACTGAAGTACGTGATGCTGACTTTTGTGATGGTATACTCCGGCGGGACTTCACACTAATGCCTGACTGTGAGCGTGGCATTTGGGGTGAAATACTGCCGCCAGAGTTGCCAACACTCGGTGCGGACGCAGTCGTGTCAGCACCATTAGCCATGCCACCACCTACTGTGGCAGAACTGTTAGAGTTGTCTTTGTTATCCGAAGCACCGCTGTTATCACCCGAAGGACCTGCCGAACTTGTATCAGCCATAGATTTGCGGGATTTTGTTTGAGCATCATTTAAACGTCTGAAAGAAAATAATAAATTTCTAATATAATGAATACTTATTATTGACATACTTGTAATAATCGAAAGCTATTCGTACTGGTATTATAATAAGTTCCGTAACTTCGGGCACCAGATCGCCTAAAGCTTCAAATAGAGGCAACAGCACCAAGCCAATGAAGCGAACTTGCGAACCGGGCTTACTAATCTTGTCGGGATCCATGAACGGTGTAACCGGTAAGCCCTCTGATTTTTCTGCTGCACTTTGAGCAAAAAATTCTTGCAGTAAACGATCAAGCCAAGGCTCAGCTACATCCATGGGACGTGCTTCATTTGAGATATCTGCGACTTTAATTAAAATCATGCAAAGCTATGTAAGAAAATTAATAATGAATAAGATCTTCACAATCGAGTACGAAAAGAGATTAACAACTTGCCAAATTTATATGCGCTCGATTGGTGTAATCGAATGTTGATGTGATATCTTTGAACTGAGTTAAAATTTCATTGTGTCTGGCCATGTCTGTGGCTAAAATGCAACGTATAATGCCTTCGCGTATTTGGCTAAAAATGAAGAATGAGAAACGTGAAGTTGAAGTCAAAGGCATTGAAAGCGTTTTTAATCAAAAACGAAGTACATTTCTCAAATTTTATTCATTTAATAATTTCCAAGCAGATTATGGTTTTTGATTATTACTAAAATTTTCTATAGATGAAAAATTCGAAGGGGTAGATATTTTGATGCCCTCTTCTCTCTTCTCTTAATACCACAAAAGTATTATTGTTAGCATTTATTAACGTTTCTTTCTAAATTTTTAATTTAACAATTTTTCTTTTTAGCACAAGTCTCTTGTGTGTAAGGAAGGTTCCTACAGTAACAAGAGCTCGTCTCCCTCAAGGAATGTCTAATAATAGGTAATACGTATGCTATTTAAACGCGCACATACAGACAAGAATGTGAAATGAACTTCACAGTTTGTGTAAATGCGTTTAAATGCATTTATATGTATATTTATAGTCATTTTACGGTTGAACTGGTGAAATACGATAAGAAGGGAAAGAATAACTAAAGCTTGCATTTAATTTATCAACTTCCAAAGACAGAAGGGTGAGATTATTATTGTTTGACGGCAAGCAATAAGTCACGATTGTCTTAAGTGTCATTTGCACAAATATAAATCAGAGATCAGTTATTTCTTAGTAATCTTTAAGATACCGTCTCTGTGTCGCTTTGTATTCTTATTAAAATTTTCGAATTCTTTTTTTTTTTTTGCTTTTCGATATGTGGATACTTATCATCTACAATTGAAGCGTTTTATTACCTTTCTTCTTCTTCTTTTTTTTTTTAATAATTAAAACAGTCACCCAGGGCTCAATTCACAATTATTTGAAGTTCATCTGCTGGCTGTCTGTCTCCTCGGCTGCTGCCTGGGACATGAAATTAAGTGTCTTGGCAGGTTTTCGCCCACGGACAATGGCTTACATTGAACCATTTGACTGGCGATAGAATGTTGGATTTAGAAATATCGATGCAAAATGGTATTTTAATTTATGAATTTGGGAAATTGAGTTGCGATTGGTAACCCCTCGTCTTTTCGTTAGAAAGTAAGTATCTATACGGCAACATCGTCTAGTTTTTATTATCTTTTTTTCGTATCTAAATTTATTGCATTAAGTTTAAACCGTACAGATATGTATTTTGGATCCCTCCCACATATAAAGACTCTTATGAGAAATAAGCACTTACACGGCAGCTATGTATAACTATTCATATTTTATGAATAAAAACGAATGAGAAAGTTATACTCGGCGGCTGGCGGACCTACCCACCACTATGCTTTTCGCATTCTACTCGCCAAGTTCTTTTAGTTGATACGCATGTCGATGGTATTATTAAGAAAAAATTAATTTATCAGGCAACGGTGTCTATTAATCATATTCATTTTAGAATTAACCCATTTTTAGGCAGATAATACATGATTGTTTGAGGAATGTACAAAATAATTTTTAACATCCTTCGTTGTTTGCATTATAATAAATACGTATAAAACTTCGAAAACGTGAAAAAAATAAATTTTAATCACTTGTAACATTGTGTGTGGGCATGGCCGATGAAGAATTGAGTTTTTCGTAAAGTAAATATGACAATATTTCAGCCTTTTAAATTTTATAAATTCTGAGTAACCAACATTATTTTTGTTAAGAAAAACGGAGTTGCGTTCAGTTTAACAACTCGAATGCGGGCTGCCCCTCTGACCAATTTAGCCCGTTTTCAATACCAACCTGCGTGCAAAGACTTTCAATGCTTCTGCAAAATTTGAATTCGATATCTTTATTTTTGCGAGTAGGAGAATGCAAACAACAAACACAGCACAGACGGACAGACATGACTAAAACAATTCGAAATTTCACCGTGATCAAGAATATACATACTTTAAAGGGTCTATGGAGCTTTCTGTCGGGTGAATAAGTGTACCCCATGCTACGGTGGTCGATATAAAAAACTACATGAAGAATGATAAGTAATGGCATTATTTTGAGTGAAAAAAAATTCGAGCCTTTCAAGTTTTAGGCCTTCGCTTGTATAAGGACCTCTAACGACAAATAAGTGTTTGTAATAGGTATAAGCCATAGTTTTTCACACAGATAGGTGAGGAATTGTGGTAGATGAGTCCGATTAAGGTATTTGATAGGGTGGATTTACCGACTGCGCAAATAAAAAAAAAATTTTTAAAAGAATTTCGTATGCTTGACTGATTGTGGAAATGAGAAAAAATTTTTTTTAAAATATGGTCTCTAGTGCAATCACCAAGATTCTTGGGCTTCGTACTTAGCTGCTAAATTCATAATTCTGTGCGCAAAGCTTTAGTTAAGTCAAAACGTTTGGTTCTGAATTTTCAGTGATGTGAGATTAAATTCGAAAACATAATTACATTATAGACTCGTCCTGAGTATTGAAAAATTTGGACATTAAAAATCTATCTCACGACGTTGTTTATGTAGTAAGCTTTATATAATATTATTGTCTATTAAGTACATTACTATCAGTATGCATATGTGCGTTATACTATGAGTAGGCACATTTGGCAACATTACTGTTCACAAGCATCAATATGTTGCTACGAAAATTCCAAATCCAGTTAATTCCAGCTAAGTAATTTTTCCCAAAAAAAAAAATTCCCTAAAGAAGGAAAAACCAAATGCACATTCGCAGGCGCGACATGCAGCTGCTGGTCGATGGAAACGATTAGCGGGAAAAGCAGACAGGGATTAAATATGAAAACTATGAATTTGGGTATAGTAACCTGCTTGTGAAAGTGCATATAAATAGAAGATTTGTGGAAGGGAGAGTTAGTCGGGCAAGAACATAGAAATTGAGAGTACGGCCAAAATAAGTTGTGAATAATCCTTAAGTAACATAATTGTAAAAGAACTTTGAACTGTACTTCTCTTGAACAAAATATCCGCGTTCTAGTGATGCGGACTGTATCTTACAAAAGCGAATTTCGTAAATTTATATATATGCCATGCATATGCATAGCATGCAGGAAGTGCACAATTCCCATTATGTCGAAGTCTTTATTGCCATCTGCTATGAACTGTAAATTATTGGATGGTCCTGCAAAATATGATATAGTGATCATGTATGAGTTCATTGCGACGGCTTGGTGGTGTGGACCTAAACCAAGCAAACATCCAGCGACTTCTGAACTTTTCATAATTTCAGTGATATCGGTAACTGAACAACAAATGGTCAAGCGGGCTTGATTAAATTAAGTTGGAGTTCTGGATTAGTTGAAAGTACCTATACCCCATGGGATGTTTAAGCTATGCTTTTAACCCCTACCAATGGCAAAAGTATTGAGTCGCGAAACAAAATCTTGCCTTCGCGTTTTTTTTTTTTTTTATATATACATGTTCAAGGTATCCACTAAATATGTAGGAACGATAATGCTCAGAAGAAGTTACAGATAGAAAACGAAGGAAAAATGTTTGTGTGTGCCTGAAATGGCAGGCAGTTGAAGAACGCTCAGTAGGGTTAGTAGGTTCTGTTATAACGCCAGGTAACAGGCACGGACAATTGAGCGACAAGCGCTGAGAGAAGCAAGTAATCTTATTACACAAGCCCCTGCTGGTGCGTATGGTAGGAAAATCTACCTAACAAAAGTTTTAAAAAAACCAAGTGGGGTTTGAATTATTCAAAGACTAACTATTCTAAGAACTTTAGGTGTTCTTTGCAACGTTAGAGTTTTAAGTCATCAGCAGTAGTAATAGTAGTAGTAGTAGTAGCAGCAGCAGCGGCAGCGCGATTTTTTAAGACTGCTGCAATCGTTTCTCACAGTCGCCTTAGATTTAAAAGAACAGCTGAATAATTAAATAAGTTTCGTCAATAATAATAATTAGAGCAAATGGAGGAAAATGACTCGTAAAATATTTCTTTCCATTTTTCAGCCCAAATATTAACAAAGTATTTTTTTAATGCAAAAACCAAGCCATGAAATTCTATGTTGTTTACAAGAGAACGATAATGTGTCTTTAGGGTTAAGCTTAATTAAAGAATCCAAGCAATATTGGTTTGCAGAACACTGTGCTGCTGATTGTGTGTTCGATCCATTTATTTAAAAATTTTTTTGTTTCACATGAGATATTGGACCAGAAACAAGGAAGCTTTAGCTAGACAAATGCGAGCAATACTGAAACAATCCGTCAATCATCATCATCACCGTCATCATCAACATCATCATCACCGTCATCATCATATGATCATCGATAATATTACATGGAAAGAGAAATGAGAAATTCTTTACCATTGCTACACAAATTGGAAAACTTGCATGTCACCATAAGAGAGTTATTGGCAATAAATTATAAAATTGATGGTTTCGTTCTGCGACATGTAACAACAATATATAAATTGCGACTCGGAGCCTGAATACAAAACAAAAAAATTGATTAGTTTTTAGACAAAAAATGATTCTGATTCAATTGCTGAATCTATCACAAATCCGTTTGTGAACGCCCACACCACTTCACCATACCCGAAATATAACACAAATCATGCCTGGATGACATGCTTATCACAATCAATTAATATGCGAAAAAATAATTATATAAACTATAAACAATAGTCTGAAACTGACATGAGTGAATCGTCAAAGCAGAGTTGCCAAACGGAGTACCAATGAACTTTAGAGTTTTTGCTCCAAGTGTTAGCGAATCAGGAATTCATGTAGAAGAAGTTCTTGATCATTTGCAGCTTATTTCTATAAATTGCTTTTTTTTCTTCGGCCGGCAACTTTAGTCGATATTTCCAAGTTTTGCATTATTTTCATATTAAATACAAGGCCCGGCTCTATAATCCATCCGTTGGTAACATTTAAAAAGCTTATCAACAAAAATGAATATGCAACAACAACAACAATAATAATAATCAAGAAATACGCGAATCGTTAGCATACTATCAATTATTGTTAGCCCGTTGTTCTCTCGCACAAAGCCTCACTCGTGCATTTGAAAATAATACTCAGCCCTCTCATTTATTCGCTCTATAAGTTAATCGATAGCTAGACTGTCTAATGCAGATTGTACGTTTTTAAGATTTTAATTCACTTTGCCAGCGCAGTTCTGTAATAATAACGGCAATGATAACATCTGCAGCAACAACATGTCATTGTTGTCGCCGTTTAAATTTTACATATACATATACATGATAATTCTGTGTATTACTACCACAACCATTAGTTCCTTTGCAACATCAATAAAAGAATCAACATGTCCTGCGGACTTTTGGTCATCACAGAAACAAGAATATGAGAAACATTTGGATGTTACCCAACAGCCATGCGATGATTTCTATGAATACGCTTGCGGCAACTGGCGAGCGCCCTATCAACTGCGTATGCTAGAGGCTGGCGATACACTAACAGCTATTAAAGCGGCCAATAAACATTTGCTGATACAATATTTTGAAGCCTACGACGAGAAGGAGCAAAATAACACAACGAAAAGTATAGTGAACTTTTACAAATCCTGTTTAGATAATCGAACGTGGAAAGCGAAAGCGACTGAAGAACAACGTATACAATACTATGTCGAGATCTTACAATCGCTTACAGTGGAATGGCCGATACTGACGGAAGATTTTGCTAGTCGAAATGAAACGTACGATTGGATACGTGTAGCAGGCGAGGTGCGTCGTTTTGGAGTGCAGGCGTTCATGAAAGTCTTGGTACAACCTAATTGGCAATTGGCGCAACAATTGATTTTTTATATGATGCCGCCTAACTTCGAATGGTTAAAGCTACGACCGTCGGACAGTACATACAACGAAGAGTCCGTTTTTCTATACCAGCGCTATATCAAATTGCTAATGATGGATTTGGGGGTGAAGGTACGCAGAGCGAACCAAATTGCTTTAGAAGTGATCGATTTCGAAAAACAGTTGTTTAGTTTGGTGACGAACGATCAATCAGTGATCCTTAGAGAGCCTCAAACACTTGAGAGTTTAAGCCGCGAAATGCCATTAATTGACTTTCGCAACTACTTTTCCAGTTTATTGCAAGATTTTGAATTACCGCGTGACTGGTCTCAGCAAATCTTAATCGTCAGTGATTATCTTTTCCTTAAAAAGCTGGCCAATTTTCTTAATCATACCAATGGCGATATTACAGGCAAATATGTGTTGGTTCAATTTCTTATACATTTTGAATTCCATCTGCATGATGAAGACACTTACACAAGACAGAAAATGGATTGCTTGCAATTGGTTAATGATTTTTTGCCCGATGAACTCTCTTATTTATATCTGCAACTGCAATATGGAAATTCGGAGAGCTTTCTAAAACAATCGGAAACACATTTGAAGCAGATTTTTCAAAATCTTAAAAATCAATTTGAAAAGATGTTAAACAGTAGCGTAGTTTTTGAGAGAGACAACCAGACGCGCCTGTTAAGTTTACAAAAACTGAAAGATATGTATTTGATTATACCTAAAATAGAGATCGGGCAACCATCGTCAGACGAAGCACCAGCAAAACTCCTTCCAATGCTTTCAGACAATTACGATTCCAATCTAATTAACTTATGGAAATTAAAAATTCAACGAGAATTATCGGTATACGTAGAAAGATTAACTAAAAAGAATTTAGAGAGCTTTTATCTTGATGTTCTAAAATCCTTTGGCTATACCTATGGTCCATTAGATGTAAATGCGTATTATCGTTTGAAAAAGAACGCAATTGAATTGCCGATAGGCCTGTTGCGTGCTCCGCTTTATGATAAATGTCTAAAGCCCGCCAAGTTATATGGAAGCTTTGTTTACATTGTAGCGCACGAACTGATACATGGTTTCGATTATGACGGTTTGAATTACGATGCCGCAGGCTCGGTGGCTAACGGTTGGGGTGTCAAAGCAATTATAAAATATGGTGTACGTTCCAATTGCTATTTAAATGAGCGTTACAAGAATGATGCTTTAACCATTAATGAGAATATAGCCGATTCCGAGGGTTTGCGTTTGGCATTGGAAACCCTTCTCGACCACGAAATGAGTTCGAGTTTTGAAGTGGACGATTTGAAATTGTTTTTCTTAAGTTTTGCTCAAACTTGGTGTGGCTCTAGTGGGGTAAAAACTAGTAATTCCATCCACGCTGCACATAAAGAGCGGGTTAATAATGTTGTGGGAAATTTTATGGAATTTTCTGACATCTACAAATGTCGCTCCGGCTCACGTATGCACCCGGAAGAGAAGTGTCGAATATGGTAGGAATGAAGAGAGTTATGTTTTAAATTAATTTTAAGAAGCTTATTCATTCTCTTAGTAAAACACCTATGACAAGACGTCTGCCATGAACGATAATATCTACTAATCTAAAGCATATATCAGAGAAACATTTTGAATTTAAGTTAAGAAAACCTTTAAATTTCATTTATCAAAAAAAAAAAAAAAAAAAAAAAAATTGTATTAAAATATTTTGAAAAATCTTTAAGAAATTTTGTTAAAACATTTTCTTAATGATTTTTATTTCAAAAAACCGCTTTACTCGTTACGAACATCAGGTGCTCACACAAACATTTGCTTATGAGTATGTATTCGAAGATAGAGTGGAAGAAAAAAATACACATAGGATTTAAATAAAATAACAGTTTGTTAGGAAACGACATAAACTGCACGACCAGCCAAGAAATTCACATAATGCAAAACGTGCACCCACACAGATACATATATACACAAACTAACAAAGAGAGAAGACACAAACTGTCATAAAAGAAAATTGAAATATTTCAAAATGTCATTAGTGCTGCTGTTGCATTTCGTTCGTCCAACAAATGTGAGCATGCGAAGGTATTCCTTCGTCCGTACGCACATGCACATATATATATATATATACGTATATGGGTAGCTTAGTAGGAAAATTCCAACAATCAATTCCTTTTAGATTTAATTGAGGAGCAATACAAGGACAGTAAGAAAGCGAGACAGAGCAATCTTTTTTCCCCTCTTTTTTTCGTAGACACCAACTCACTCATTCGGTAAAATAAATTACACAATTTCAATTACGAAGATTAAATTTCAAATACACTCATCTGTGCATACGTAAGCATAGGAGCCGCAGTTAGTAGGAGTTTGGCAAACATATCGAGGATATGCTTCAGGGAATTTCAGGCGTTATATTGCAATTTTTTTTTACATTTTCAGTAGCTGTCTTGAATAAAGTATTGTTTGCAAAAGAAAAAATTTTAAAAGAAAAGGAAAAAGAAACATTTTCCGAGGCGCACTTCTAGGCTTTCAATAAATAGTTCCTTCCTGTTTATTATTTTTTTTTTTTTTAATTACTTTCAATGGATTTAAAAAGTAAATGTTTAGTTGCTAATATTTAGCCTTTGTATGAATTGAATTTTGCAAAATTGACGGCAACTATTGGAAAATATTTTTGAAATTGTATTAAGAAGCATAAGACAATTCTATACATTATTTATATGCGTGTATATGTTTTATTGCGTTCATGTTTTGCCTGCACTTTAAAATTTAATTTTGTAATAACAAATTATTATATTCATATGTCGAACTACTGCTAATGAATGAGAAAATAATTTAAATTACAGATAAGTTTGTAATCACTCAACATTCTCTTACTTAAATTTAATTTCAAAAGCAGAAGAGTTATACTTTTTGTTTGAGGCGAATGAGCCAATACCACCAATACTAACTTGAAGTGAAATGCAATTTGTTGGCAAAGTAGAGAAAATATGTAATCATCTGTTTTTATCTTCGTATATCATTTCATGTTTCACGTACATCGTGCTATACAAACGTATTATTTATATTATATCGTATCATATCGTTTATCGTATGTTGTATCGTATATTCTATCGTTTACATCGCAAATCATGTGATATATTGCATATCGTATATGGTCTCGTACATCGTATCGTATCGTATAACGTAAAATATATTCTCCTACATTACATTACACTCTATATACGATGTTATGAATGCGAACGAATCAATCAATACCCCTGAGCCAATTTACCTGATTTTTGAGGTAATAAAAGAAATTTAACACTTCAAAGAAAAAAGAAAATATTATTTATAGAATTTTTTATTTCTCTGGACTAGATCGTGAATCAATTTAGCTGTTTTGCCAAACTATGCCCAAAGAAAGAGACAAGAAAAATCTTTGAAGTAGGTTTCGCTCTTCAAGTGGTCATCGAGATTTTAGTTGATCAATGAAAATGCTCAAATCAATACCGTACATTTTATGATTCGTTCGAAGCCTAGTTAGAAGCATATGTATGTACTTGTCAAACCTAGCAGGTCGCCGAAGTCCAAAGGGTCTTAAGATTAATTATCAATAGACGTAATTAATTTAAGTTAAATCTTAATACGATTAAGATCAAGTTGTTTTTAAATTTTATTCGATACTCACTTAAATGTTTCACGATTAAAATTCTTAAATATATTACAGTCTGGATGTTCCAATAAACGAAATGCAATCGAGCAATGATGATTCTCCAGTGGTGATATATCATTATACCTAACGGATGTAGAAAACAAGAACAAGACATAAATGCGTACCTTTTTATTTTCAACTTTAATGACTTGAATTCAATCATTTAATTTAAATTAAGCACTTAAGCACATATGCGCATATGCGCATATGCACAAATGTATATATGTACACACTTGCCCATATGCAATATATTTATATATATATATATATATACATATATATTATTAGGTATATGTATATGTGTGTGTCTTAGGTATATATATATATATATATATATATATATATATATATATATATATACATATGTTGCATATGTGCATGTGTGTACATATATGTTCAAATGTTCCATTTTCTGCTTACCTAAGTGCCAATTCGGTACGTGCATTAATTTGATAGATATTATTATAGCCTGGATGATCGAGATCATGACAAATGCAGGACACCAACAGTATTAAACATTCCAAATCACCTAAACGTTGCAATAAATTTGCCTGACGCGTTATGGCGTACATCTAAAAATTTTTATATAGAAGAAAGAGATAGAGATAACCAGAGAGAGAGAGAGAGAGAGAGAGAGAGAGAGAGAGAGAAAGACAAAAAGGGAGAATTAAAAAAAAAAATAGAAAGAACAAATCTTTAGAAAAAACGTTTTTCAAATTTTAAAAGGATTTTCAACTTTAACTAAAAAACCACTTAATTTGTTTAACAGGAAACTTTTTCACCACTTTTTGTATGCTTTGTCGTTGACAAAGAAAACCCCAAAACGCATACTCTTTACGGAAATAAATTTTCATTTTAGTGAAGACTTGGTAATCATTGGGTTGCTGTTGTTGCTGTTGCTGCTGTTGTGATTGTTGTTGTTGTCGCTCGGTCGAACACAAGTAATTTACAAATATCAGAGACAAGCAAATGAAACTTTGAAATAAATTTCATTGTGCTCGTGTGCCTTATGAACAATTCATATCTTCTTCAATGTCGACATTTATCTTGACTAAGTTAACGTATATAGGTGTGTGAAAGCAGAGAAAATGCTTTTCCACTTTAAAGTTACATTCACTCGCCCGCTCACCCATTTACTATACCAATATTTAAGGAAATTGTTTTCATGCTTCTCTTAATTCTTACGCTTTTTCAATGCCATGTGCATAGCGTTTAACGTTGCAATTCGAAGAACAGATTATTCTGAATAAACTGAGAACAAATAAATAAATATTTTACACGATACATCGTTTACATCGCCTGCTTTCAGTTTTAAAATTTATATCGAAATATTATAACAACCATTTTTCCGATTTCAACGTTTCATTCTGCCGCTTAATGTTGTTAGTACAAGTTTTAAATAAGCATTCAGAAAAAACTTCATGCCGTTCTTTCGACAACACACTCATGAAACACATTTTCCTTATATTTTAAATTAACTTTACTAAATCGCATATATATATGTCGCTTTGTTCGATAAACCTTTACTGTGTACTTTAGTAAAACCATTAGGCTATCTCTGCCAAAAAAATTAAAATTAAGCTCTTTTTCCACGCCTCGTTCACAGCCATTTTTATATGATGAAAAGTGCTCTACAAAAAGTGCAGAAAGAAATGGCACTCCCATCAAATTTTCGCATATTTGTTGCCCGGCATTGTCGCCTTTGAAACGGGTCCATGTTATATTGTACACCTTGTTTATCAATAATTGTGTTAGTTGTTGGGACTAGAGAACGAAATCATATGTCTGGGCCAGCTCATAAAGCTTCCAATTCCATCAAACATGAAACATTATTCCAGGTGGTATATTAATCCGCACTTTGCCCTCATTTGTATAGCTTCAGCTATGATTTTTTCGCATGTCGTTACTGTGCGCGACCCGTCTTTTCACACATGCAGCAAGCATCTGTAATCCATTTCTTCCAAAGGGACGGATTTCATTTGAAGGGTAGTAACCCCCAGATAAAAATTCCGGCGATTAGCCGTTAGATTGTTGTTGTTAGATTGATATGATGTTCAACCAGGGTGTTTTAAGCCGCAGCCGTCTTCAATTTTTTCAACAATTTTCTTAACTTCACATAAACGATGGGTCGACCAAAATTCGGCGTGCCGTTAACATCGAAATTTCCTAGGCGGAAACGAATGCAGCATTCGCATGATGCTCATTTTGAGAACGTATTTTCACTACACATAAAATGTCCGAATTTTTCCACAAAATCTGCGAAGCATTATTGCCTCGGATGAATAGATAATGAATTTTTAGAATTTCAAAACGTAATTACTTGTAACGTAGTTTAAAGAATTTGCTTAATTTGTTTTTTTTTTTTTTTTAGTCAAGCATGGAGTGCTCAGTTTTCATATGCGCTGTAGTATGATTCCATAGGATTAATGTTGCTGAAGTTACACTGCTCTTAAATAATCTATTCGCAAAAATGTCGCAAACCTTTTCCTGTCCCTCTTGTTGTTGCTTGATAAAATATTGCAAAATATTTTTGAGATTGTTTCATTTTTTTTGACTGTTGTAGGTTGTGTTTGTGCCAATTGTGATAATTACTGGCACACTTTATTTAAACATGAAAAATTAAACGACCCAAACGCACGCCATTAAATAAATCAATGCAGATTTATACGCTACAATGTATAGCATGTTGCTCATAAGGTCTGCTCTGCACGAACAACATTTTGCTTGTTTAAGAGGAGACATGCAATGTTGCTATCCCATCTTGCTTGATTTCCCCCGCCTTCCCCTATCTAAATGAGGTAAAAAAATCTCTTTCCCTCTTTCTTCTTTCTTAGATATATACTCATTTCCAACACTGACCGCAAATCTCAGCTCACATGCTGCCATTCGCAATTCTATTAGGTCTCCTCCCACCCTCCCTATCTGACCCTCTTTAAGCGATTTAATAATGACATATGAACCTAGCACTGCATAAACCGATTAACTCCACTTTTTGGAAAATTTTCAACTCAATTGTCGACAGACTTGATCTAGCGTTAACTTCTTCTGATAACAATAATATTCCTGACGAAGGAAGATTAACACCACTTATCGACAACATTTTCTTAGCAACTGAGTAATAAATAATTTATTTCAGAGGTCATTTTGATTGAATATCCGCACTCTTATGTAAATCGTTGCAATAAACGATTCTTGGCAAATAAAAATGTGATCTTCAAACGATGAGGGAATTAAGATGACAGAAATTAACAAGAAAACTCACTTAGTGGAGAATGAACAGGCTTGTATTTAGCTGGCTGCCCACTGGATCGCAGTATCAGAAAAAATGTTCAAACCTTTGAGCTTCCCTAAACTGATCACATCCATTATAATTTCAGTTGCCATGATTTCAATAAAACAATACAAGCCACATGTTTGTTTGGCGACAAGCTAAAGTATCTCGTGGATCTCAAGAAATTTAGTCATGTCTAATAAAGTATATCGAAACTGCCCCGTAAAGTTATTGAACCTTGCTCAAAGTACGGAAATAAAAGCTGAGTTAACTGACAAGAAATTTTTGCTAAGCGGACACATCTATTTGGTTAACGATTCCGATTTTGCTTTGCATTGAGTTATATGCGAAAAAAATTTAAAACATTTTTCACCAGCTGAACCGTTCAAAATAATCGAAAAATTTGAAAAAGAAACGGAGGTAAAGACTCGTCATCAAGATTTTTTTTTTACAAAACCTTTAGAAAAGTCACAGTTATAGGGTTTCCAGTAGAATGGGTCTAAAATGCGTTGAGCAAAATCCGAAAGATCCTAACGTATCCTCATACAATTCCAAAGGTGACTACAATCAAGATTTACAATTTAATGGCGGGCGACAAAGTCTTGCCAAATCGTTTAACACATTGTGGTCCAAATCGTGGTCACATAAACATTGTAAAATTAATGTGAGATTATTTTTAGGCTATTCTTTCCTATTCTAATTTTATTTACCGTTAGATGAAAGCTACATCTGTATACATTCATTATGCAATATTTATAAACATAAATACATTAATTCACCACTTTTCTTAACTGTTTTTAGAGAGAAACGAAGATTGAATAAGAGAGTGAACTAAATTATATTATTTTTTGTTAAGGTTAAGAATTAATTATTGTCGAATTGTACATAATTAGTAAAAAATGTTCTTTAAACATGAAATGTGTTTCGAATGAAATGAAGAAAGAGGGAACTCTCGAAGTAGTAAAAGAAGACGAATGCATTAAAAAAGCAAAACAAGGGAAAGCAAAATTTGTAAAATTGTGTTTAAAATAAATCATATAAGAAAATTGAGTTCGGTCGGGAGCGAACCTTTTATATCCATCACCGTTATCCTAAAAAAGACAAAACAAGTAAAAGAACAAAGTGCTCATTCTCTATAACATAGAGCGGACGCAGTTGATTTTTTCTATTTTCAAAACAAAAGTTTTTGTCGTAAAGATATGTGGGCGTTGTAAGCGTGTCCTTCGAAAGGTTTAGGTTAATTCCAAATTGTTTTGCAAAATTTGCAGGCGATATCTTTAGTTTCGCTGGCGTAAGAACGTTTACCGATAATGGTAGAAAATTTCGCAACCAGCCAGATGAACAGACTAACAGGCGGACATGTTTACGTACATTTAAGAATTGTAACTGGCCGAGAATTTGTATATTTTATGGGTATTCAATAATAATTCAATTTTGATACACCATAATATTGAGTAGGCATGGTCAATTTTTTCCATTTTTGTACGCAGATGCTACATCATTGCCCATAGAATATGCTTTCAAATTTTTGTAGGTTTGCTACAGTTTGTGAGTAATAAGCAAAAAACCAATTTTTCATTCCTTTGCAAAACCGACGTGTTCTCAGTTCAACTTGCGCTGTGGGCTTATCTTTCGATTGATTTGGCCCATATTCAATACCAACTTGCGTGCAATAGCTTCCAATGCTGCTTCCAATTTGTAGCCAATAGCTTCATCTTTGCGGCCAGGAGAATGTTTACAACAGACGTTACACAGGCGGACATGCTTAAGTCGATTTAGAAATTGACGCTGTTCAACAATATATATATACTTTGGGGAGTCTCCGATGCTTCCATCTGGGCGCTGCAAACATTTTAACAAAGTGAATATACCCCTCATCCTTCGGTGATGGCTATAAAAAAATTAAAACTTCCTAGTCTTGGCGCAAAAAACAATTAATTTTTTTTTGTTTAGTAGTAGCAAGATCATGCACGCTAGAATCAATGGTATTTACCTCTCTTGCACAGAATGCGCCATAGGTAAAGGCAAAAGAAGCCTATTTATGGTTTTAACACTTTCAAGAGTCCCGCTCGCAATTTGAAGAGCGTGCAAGAATGAGTTTGAATTGTGCAATTTTACGTAAAGTTACCATTCATCCTATACATATAATTCCTTTACATCACACCATTGAAATGAGACGCTGTTTATTCAAACCTAGACGCGTGAATGCCCCTATTTAAGTCATTACAAACTCATATATATATACATTTCGGGGTATTGTTGCCAATTTTAACGCAACGCGTACAGTGGCACATCATTTTTTTTTTTCTTTAATTTATTTAACCAAAAATTACTATTACCAGGCACAACCAATGAAAAGTGAATTTCTACTCTGTTGACATGCTTTCACAGGCATACGCTCGATAACGTTCTATTGATTATTCCAATTTGGTTCTAAATTTTCTTCCCCTGTAACTATAAGCCATTGTGTACATATTAAATTGCCTAAATGACCTAAATGCACGCACGCATATGCCTATGCATACATACATAGCTACATGTGTACACACGGTATGTTATGAAAGATATATGCATGTACATGTGTATGTAGTGTGTAACCAAGTAAGCGACCAGTTGTGCCATGTTTTACTTATATCACAGGAATTTCTTTGTTCCTCAATACATATGCACTTCACGACGCACTCTCGCTTTCCGTATTCATTATTGTGTGCATATGATTAACGTTTTACTGGTCGTTCACATGCGCCCCATCCACACGCACACACACACACACACACACACACACATTTATATATATATATATATATATATATATATATATAGTCAATTGCACCCATACATATGTGTGCATAAAGTGTGCATTATAGTATAGTATGTTGACCTGAATATTTATGAATTATATTTTAATAATAAATGTTAGGTAAACAATATACATACGTATACCCATCATCACCGTCATCATCATTCACATCATCACCATTATAATCATTACGATCATCATCATCATGGTCGTGATTATCGTCATTATCGTCATTATCGTCGCTGGCACCGCTAGTGTCAGCGTGTGTGCGACTATAAATTATAATAACACATTTTAAAGGCAAGAGATTTGAGAGGGCTGTTAACATATATGATGATTATTTTGTTTTCATTACGCTTGCACACATACGTATATGCACGAGAGCGAACTAAAAACTCGTCCATATTTATTGAAATACAGACTGCAATTGTTACGCATTAGAATTTCTATCCCCAATTGAATTTAGATTTTTCCAAAAATTTATGCAGTCATTATGTGTGGTCGCATGACTATTAGGTCAATATAAATTTGACACGAGCCGTAAGCTCTTCAAAAAACAAATGCTTGAAAATAATGCGTGAAATAAAAAAAATTATGCAAAGAACTTTAGCCTTTGAAATGAAAGCTTAATGTTCCGGTGCTCTCTCTGGCTTCAAATCTTTTTGTTTCTTTTTTTAACTTGACATAAGCGTTTAATTCTTAGATTATTTGAGATTAATTCAAGGATACGTGTAGGAAATTACAGTGTTCTAAACCTGATATTATGACTTTGAGCACAAAAGAAAAAAAAAGAAGAAAAATAACTTGTGACATTTGCTAATTGAGACACAATCCGGGAATAATCCAACACATTTTACAATATCACTCTGATCGGGATGATAAGGCTTCGCAGGTAGGAGATATCTGTAGTGTTTGGGAGGAAGATGTTTGGCTTTGATTCGCTCCGGAAATTTCGAAAGGTCCGTTCTGCGATAATTCTCTAGGCTTGGACACGCAAAAAGAGAAGCCTGACATCAACTAACAGTGAACAATTTAGATAACGAAATTTTCATCTGTGTATATCCACATTATGCTGAGATGAATAACAACCGATGTGTTTGAAAGGGCGAATCAGGTGACGACTGCACAACAATTTGTTTAACCGTTCATTATTATTAAGAGAGAGTGTGTGTATAGTAATTTTTACACCTCATCGCAAAAATGCAGTAATACGTTTTGAACTTTCGATAAGTAAGTGAGCTTTTGATTGTGTTTGCTTGTCCATCCTTTGTTGCAATTGGTCGATGGAGCGTCATCCGAAATGAGGTAAAAAAAAAAAATCTTTCGTCATTAAGTAACTACGCAAAATTTGACACAAACAAATATTTAAAAAAAAAAAATTATAAAATTATTGCACAAATATGTTTTGACATTCGTCCACTCTGAGAAAATCAAACAATGAGCAAAAAGTTGTGCTTATTTTATAAAATAAATAAATTTTCTTATGATTTTCATGAGTAGCCGAGATTTTGCACGAAGTGAACACGGTATATTTGTATGTTTGCGTGTGCACTATCCATGTGTTCGTTGCGCACTTTTCATTAAACTATACTAAAACGAGTAGTCTTGAGGTGCGATGTTGCGTATCTTTTTTCCTTTGTTTCATTTTTATCCTTCTTTAACTCATCAACAAACGTGAGGTTGATTGTAAGGCCAACAAAATAGATAAATTGCGCATTTATGTCAGTTTGAATGCTGTTCGCCATCTTTTAAGATTTTCTTTTTGCTCTTTCTTGAAATATCTAAAGCTCTATTAGAGACTTTAAATAACAAGTTTTGATTTATTGTAAAGAAAGAAAAGTTAAAAGCTCCTTCCTTCCTAGTCTAAATAACGAAACTTTGTACTATATATCGCAAGACTGACTACACACATAAATTAAATTATGAATCGTTTTATGTATATTTTCTGACAGTCAGTAAACGGCAAACGAAGAAACAAGAAAAAAAAAAAAATTATCAATAAAAAGAATTTAAGCACATCGTCATTATTATATAGCATCCAACCTCAATCTGATTTCCTCTGTACACGATAATATGATTTTCTCTAATTTTTTTTTTTGTTTTTTGGTTTTTTCTATTAACATCGTTGTCGACATTGCCAAGACGGCTGCCATCAATAGCGCATATAAACTAATTTCAAATTGACAATCGTTGAGTGATAAGGATTCTACAAGTCGTTGTTTGGTTGATTGACGACTGCCTGTTTTGCGTTGCTTTCTTTGTTCCTTCTTTTTTTTTTTTTTTTTTTTTTTTTTTTTTTTTTTTTACATTATTTACTCCTTATTTACTTACTTACCATTTGCGCTACACAAAAACAATGCCGGAAATTGTGAAATGGCACCTCATTGTAATGCTTGTAGACCTCATATAACCATTCGCGTAAGATATCGATCGGTATATTGAATTTTTCAATGAATCCCAATTCGGTGAACATGGTTTGCATCAAGTGTATGATGTCGGCGTCGCTCCATTCGTACGAATCAAAGGCAGGCAAACGTAAAGCATTACGCACTTCTTCCGATAGAGTGGTATCGCAAATTTCCAGGAAACGTTTCTTGACTTCCTGATGCTTTGGTAGACTGCTCTTGCGATGTGGTGGGCCCATAGGACGTTTTGAGAGACCTGAAATAATGTAAAACCATGTAAAAATATCTTTCTTTCTTTTCTTTTTTATAGAAGCAAAACTAAAAAAAAAAAAAAACCATTAACAGGAAATTTAATTTTCTACTATGAATGAACTTGAGCACAACAGGATGCTCTAAAAACTCATGTTATGGACCTTCTGTTTAGCTAAATGTGCGATTCTAACTGTTTCCACGTGAATATGTTTATAATAATAAAAGGAAGTTTTGGGGCCAATAAAAAGCGGAAATTAAATTTAAATGTTATGCAGTTTTACAAGCACGCTGTCGTACCGCTGTCGTTGTCTGAGGCCAGAGAAGGTTCTTAGACTAATATTTACATAAACGCCATTAGTTTTTTTTTTTTTTTTTTTTTTTTTTTTTTTTTTTTTTTTTTTTTTTTCTTTTATTTATATTAGTTTAAGAAATTCTTAAAAGATGCTCGTACGCTGCACAAAGAAAAAATAATTGTTATCGCCGGTTAACATAAGTATAAGGCATTTCTATTATCTCTACCCAAAGAAACAGCAACCATGTCAGTCAGGAAAGCAAATATCCTGTTTATCTTGCGAAGAAAAAGAGAGTGAGAGCGAGAGAGAGAGAGAGAGCCTAAACAAATATGAAAAGAATGTACAATGGAAATACGAGGGAAAAGAAATCAAATAAACACATTTAGAAATACAACAGAATTCTTGATGGGGGCATAACACACACCCTTTCATATATCGTATACGCGTTACAAAATATTGAGTATACACGTGCACATGTGCATGTGTAGAGGTATGCATGTATTTATGCAAATATTGTGTGGAATATGGATATATAGAAGATACACTCATGTGTACACAAATGTGGATAAGTTAAATTTAATGCATAGATGATAAACAGCTTTTGTATTCATTTCTTTTCAATTCCATTCAAAGTTCGTGTTTTTTTTTTTTTTTTTTTTTTTTTTTTTTTTTTTTTTTTTTTTTTTTGCAAATTCATGAACATTTATATAAACTGCAATAAGTACCTTTTTGAGTACAATTGGAAGCGCACACACGTTCACACACACACAAATTATTAACCATGTGCAGGGTATATTTTATATGTTAATCTTATATTATCAGAAGCTTAACCCACCATACACATAAAAACATACATTACATTACATTGCATTACATTACATTATTCCCTGTTCATTATTCATCATTCATATACGATGCCGCGTATTTAAGAGAATCGGTTTTTGGTTATTGCTACGCAAATGCTATTGACATTAGAATCAGAATACGATTTAATGCTAACAACATCTCTTCTCCATGCTTTGATTGTCGTAACACTTGCAATCAATAATAGCCATCGAGACGAGGGGACATTGACAATACAAATTCAAAATTCAATTCAAATATTTTTGAATCGTTCGATTCCTTCTCTTCTTCGTCTCTTTTTCAGCAAAAAAATCTTGAGTGTATAACTGCGTTTTTTTTTCTTTTCATTTTAATTTAAAAGAAACATTTCTTGCCATTTTCAATGAGAATTAATCCGAGTATTCACATGACTCTGCAATAGATCGATTAAATTTTGCGAGTACATTACATCACATTGTGAAATTATTAAAAAATATTTTAAAATTTTATAGTCGAGTGATTCCGACTATTTAATATTGTATATTATTATTTCGCCTATTTCTCTCATAAAATGCATTTTCTTAGTATATGAATGATTACTTTAATAATGCCCTTAGGGGGAATAGGCGCTATCTTGTGGAACAATTTTCATCATAAAATACTAAAAATTGGACTTTGCCGCCTTATACACGTTTATTTTTTTGTGGAAAAAGGCTTCACATTTATTTAAAATGCGAAAATATTACATTCCGCCAATCGTTATGCGCATAGTCCCGTACTCTTGTAGCGAAGCGACAATTAACAGAGAGCGAAGCAGAAGTGTGAAGAGATAAAAGTTTTCTAAATAAAAGTGTTGCCCAATATATTCAAAAATATACTTTCCGCTTATCAAAGGGATTTTGCGAGAGGGTGAACTATGAAAACCGATTTTTTCACTTGCATTGTGTAGACTTCCCTTTCGGCTTTTATACCCTACGCCACTTACAATAAACGTGTATTAATATGTGCAGATGTATATAACGTGTCGAGGAAGATGAGATGGACTAACCTTTTATTATACCATTAGATTCATAATCACTTTGCAAAAGGATTTAAGCTAGTTTGTCTGCTGTCTATTTGTCCGTCTGATATCTATGCATATGTATGCGATCTATAGATCACACTTCCATACACATTGGCGTGTTATTGCCTGATCTATCTCGTACTTTGGAAATAGTAAGCAGAAAACACGGAAAAAAAAGTTGTGCACAGTTTTAGTTACGTAGACATATGGGCGTTGTAGTCGTGCTCGTTTTTGCAAACGGGAGAATGTTTACCACGGGTACTATGCATTTGCACATACGGACAGATGGACGGACGTGCTAGGATGCATTCCAAATTTGAAACTGGCCAAGAATTTAGATACCTTATGGAGTTTGTGAACCGTGTTTCCGCGCGTTATAAAAGCTTTGAAAAAAGAAAATGAATTTATGACATACTATAAAATTAAGTAGGTTTGGCGGATTCTTTTTATTCTTGTAGGGGTACTACAACAACGCATACAAAATAAATGGTCAAATTTTTTGTAGCCTTTTCTGCCGTAATTTATGAGCAATGAGCAGAAACCTTTGAAAAACCGAGGCGTTTTCAGTTTACGTGGTGCTTGGCCCATTTTCAAGACGAATCTGGGTGAAAGAACCTCCAATGAGTTTGCCAACGCTAAAATTGATAGTTTCATTTTTGCGGCCAGGAGAATCTTTTCAACAGACGGTCGGACGGACAGACGGGCATGGTTAGATTCAGAATTTGATGATGATCGAGAATATATATATTTTGTAGGAAACTTTCTTTCGGGGGATGCAAACGTTTTGAAAAAATGAATCGACGCCTTATCCGCCGGTAATGAGTATAATAAAAGAGATATTTTTCGAGCTAAAATTCCTTTTGTTTTTTGCTCTAATTTGAATCAAATTAATTAATTGATTTTGAAAGTATGAATTTGTTGTGTGTGCTTTGATTTAAATGATTTATTTTATTTACAAAAATCTTTTCATGCAAAATAATATTGATGTCGCTTCTTTTCTCGCTTTATTGTATTTACTTTGTGATTAATTAAGCATTTAATTAATGTCAGTCTCATATTAATATCAACTTAATTAAGGGCTTTGCAAGTAGAAAATTTACAAAATTGCTGTATGGCGGAAAGAGGGACAGACAGAGAGACAGTGTGACAGAGAGAGAGAGAGAAAGAGAGAATGATGTAGCGAGAGAGAAGTGCGAAACAGCAAGTCTAAAATAATTTGTATGATAATTTATATGAAAATATATACGGAGGGAAAGAGAAATCCTACTGCACGCAATTAATCGACTTTAGAAGAAACGGATGAGAAGAAAATATTTTGAAATATTCGTGATTTTCTTATTGTCTTATTTTTTTTAAATAATTAATTACAATTTGTTAATTAATTAATTTTGCTCAAAAACGTTTTGAGACTGTATTTCGTTCGTCCTATAAGTTGGAGGAATTTTCTTCATTCTCGTACTCTAACTCCCTGGGATTGGCAAAAACAGCGCGACATCTGTTCTGTTTTAAAATTCTAGGTTTTCTTGCGTAGTTGCCTTGATATAATGAAATGCGTTTAAAAAAATTTTATGTAAAATTTAATTTTGCGCAATAGAGAAGATTGAAAAGGCGTACGCGTGCATATGCTTGCTCACAAATAGTCATTGTTATTAAAATTAATTCCAATTAATTCAATTTCAAACGGTGCAGCGCGTTTATTGAGTAAAAAACACGAAAAAAATTCGAATAGATTTTCTTGGAAATTCGTTTAATTCCATTTTTACAAGCTTTTTAAATTCTATAATACATATTTCATTTTATTTAATAAAAACAATATAATTAAAAATGTTATTAAAACTTATTCCGTTCTATGCCAAATACACGTACGTTTTTTTAAACATCGAAAACCGTTTCGATGACAGAGCGTATAAGTGACGTTGAAGGAAAGCAAAAATGCAGTGTTCCTGGCGCTTATACCGAATTTTATTTTTTACGCCAGAGTTTAATGGCTATCGCGGAAACCCCCATAATACGAAGACAAACGTAACGAATACGATATTTGCATAAAGCTCTGCGCAATTTGAGACCCGTTCTAGGAAATGGCGTTAACTCAAAACGTCAACGCATAGAATGAAAGTCAGACGAGAGTTAAAGTTCAAGGTCAACGGCGTCATGAAATCTTTTCGACGATTTGATTGCAAGAATCGCTTGACCTACACCGATCTAGGACATAAATATACTTCATAAGTTGATTGAAATCTGTCTCCGAAATGCTTGCGAGTGATACAACAATACCATTCGTCCACTAAGACAGTATATGGGGTATCTTAGAGGCATGATGGATTTTACGTGTTGAAAAAAAGCTACATCAACATTTTTGATTTGATTTCGCTTGGTTCGCAACTGTCTACACTTTGTATTTATGTTAAGTAAAGCAAATACTTGGTAGCATTTTTCGCAAAAAATGCGTGTTACTACCCCTCGAACGAGAACCCCCATTTTGGAAGAGATAGATAGCAAATGATTGTTGGAGGTGTGGAAAGGCGGTTCACGCATGCTAATGGCATGCAAAAATTTCGTAGCAGGAGCTTTACAAATGAGGGCAAAGTTCGGCTTGATACCACGTAGCATAATGCTTTACGTTTGATGGGATTGGAAGCTTTATAAGCTGGTCCAACCAGTTTCGCTAGGCACTTGATTTCCTTATTTACCACCATCAACTAACGCGGTTAGTTTAAACAAGAACTACGATATAAAGTGGATCCATGAGGAAAGCGTCGGCTTTTGTTATGACAATGTTGGACTGCAAATACCTTTAATGATGCGGCAAACATTGAGATTGCTTGG